GCAAAGTGTCTGTTGCTTTTCATGATTCTTTGTATTAATACAAGGAGCTTAAGATTAGAATAATGCAGAAGTTTCTAGTTGTAGCAGTGCAAGATATTACCAATCTGAACTTGATTTTAATAATTTCTATTATTATATCTCAACGGTATTAAAATTTTACCAATTCACTGTACTATTGCCTAAAAATGTTTGTTTAAGTTGGTCGTATTTCTTATTTACGCGGTATTCAAGAAATGTATAGTATGTCGTCCATGAAATAATGGGGTCGATCTGTTACAGATAATTATAATTTTTAAGCAGGAGGAAAAAAAAGTTTCTCATGGATACTGTTTCAGTATTTTTCGATATAAATCCATTACGATGAAGTTAGATCAAAAGTGGATTAAGTTAGAAGTATCTGCTGTCCTCAGTGGGCCGACTTTTCTCTTTTCTACACAATCAGAAAGTCCCAACTTCTTAAAGTCTAAAGTCCCCAGTAGTTTCATCCGGAACAAAACCATTACCGGAAGCGATGAGCAAGAAGGGCAATTCATCTTTCTTTTGGTGTTATAGGAGCCTCGTATTCTCATGAAGTTGTTGATTAATAATCTCTCACATGCTTGACTACAACTCTAGGAGACCATCAAAGTATTACAATGCATACAAAATAAAATCAAATTTATCGTTTGGTTTTGTGGTCTGTTAGGATGGGCAAATAACAACAATTGCTTTATGATTCTTTATACTACAGTTTTATTTATTGCGAAATCGTATTCTCGATTTTGTTATATCTCTGCTGATTGAACTTAGTTGCAACATAACAAAATAGGCATGACGCCATTTCGTGCCCATCGCTGTATATAAGATAAATTTTTCCGCCTGCCTTCTGAATACTGAACTAAGTTATAGTTTAATCTTTAGGATAGCTGTTTACTAATCCATCTTCTAATCGGTTCCTTCTAGAGAAATTCGATATTTTCGTCACTATGACGGTACTCTCGCTGAAACATGCCTGTCCTATATGGATTGATATCGTGGCAAGGATGATTATGTGAGGTCATATTCGTGTCCTTGCTAATTTTTGAAACTTTTAAAAATAACACGTTTACCAATATTTTCGAAGTATTTAGAATTCAGACTGATTTGTGTTTGGTTAAGAACCTTTTAATGCAATTAGGTATTATTCCATTATACTAATAATAATCAATAGATATATCAATCTGAAAGGTATTTCATTATTATCTAAAGATATCGAATAGGTTCCTGAGTACTGGTACACGTTTTTATTTTTTATATAACATATTTAGGTTTTTATTTTACTTTCTACAGACTTAATTACTATAGCTTATAACTTCTTTGATATCATTTTATATGTTATCATTTTAAACCTTTCATTCTGACAATATTAGGATACAGAAGTGCACCGGAAATAAATTTTGAAAAATTATAAATATTATATAACTAAGTATTTTTTGTAACAACTTGGAAATATTGATAAAAAGAAAAACAAGTTAAAAAACAAAACAAAGCGAATGACGAAAAGTGTTTATCTGTTATTATCTATATGCAAAAACGAAACTGAAAAAATCTCTTTCGTTGATTTAGTTATTAGTTTGATAAAACCGTTTTCTGTGGTGTTTTAACTTTATCCCTCCAGGCCAGGGTCGAGCCGACGTCGCTAGACTCGAGAATGTTAAAGTTTACGCTCTAACACGTAACGACATCTGTTGTTATGTTTGCAATCAGCAAATGAGCTGACTGTACACGAAATGACATGTCAGGGATGGGAATGGACAGCACCCATTAGCACCTCTTCCCTGGCTTGATTCAATTGCTTTTGTTGTTTTAGGAAGGAGATAGCTCATCCAGCGCATTTTTTATTCATCTCCTCATATTTAGAGATATGTCAGCTGTTGCCACATCTCTTGTTAAACTGTTGGTTTATATTTATATTAAATCGTTAATAAAGATTCGTTGTATGATGGTCGATGATAATTCCCAATAATTATTGGCAGAAGTATAGTATATAAAATTTTGTTAGTCACGTACCGCTTTTGCTGTGGGTTGTAATAATCATGGTTGAAGGATTTTAAGTTTTTATTTATTTATACACAACACCCCTTGAATTCAAAAATATTTGATGGAGGACCTAGTAGGCGAGGGCTTAAGGAGATAGAGGGAAGCACATTCAAACAAATAATTGATAAAACGCTAAATAATGTGAACATGGATTTGAACTCAATTAGACCCATCCCTAACCTCAAAATACCTAACTGGAAGAACAGTAGACCGACTATAGATCTGTCAATGACAAGACATAACAAAGAATACCCACTGAAAATTCAAAACTACTTTTTTGAATTATTGGAGAAATATAAAGGTTTTAATGTGATATATACCGATGCCTCCAAAATGGAAAATAGTGTTGGCTGGGCTGTATATATTAATAACAACCAACACCAACTTCTGTTTAGCTTACCAGGAGAGAGCTCCATATTTACTGGAGAAGCTACTGCGATCATGAATGCCCTCCATTGGATATCAAATTCCAATGACAATCAATGGATGATAGCATCAGACTCCAAAAGCGTCATAGCAGCAATAGGTAACCCATGGCCAAGCAATTCAATAATAAGGGATACATAGAATCTATGGTGGGAATTAAATGAAAGAACGGTCAGAGTGATATTTGTCTGGGCTCCATCTCATAGCGGTATCTCAGGCAATGAAAGAGCAGACCATGCAGCTAACTTAGCAAGGAAGGGAGAGGCACCAACCATAATTTCTATAAATTATATCACAGTAGAAGACTGGGTACACGCAACAAAAAAGACGTTGTTGGAAAATTGTGTAAATTGATGGAAAAATAGACAGTCAAAATTAATGGAAATAAAAACAGACTGCAACAAGTGGGCTAGTAGCACAAAAATATCCAGAAGAGAAGAAACAATATTGTGCAGAATACGAATAGGCCACTGCCTGTTTACTCATGAATACCTTCTCAGAGGACTGGAACCACCCACGTGTCAAAAGTGTGACAATAAACCACAATCAGTAAATCACCTGTTAGTAGAGTGCAACGAATTCAACAACATTCGGCAAAAATTGAAACTACCAATGACAATGAAAGAAATATTAAGAGACAACGAAGAAGGAGTCACCACCCTATTCCGGTACTTAATGGAGACGAATTATTACAATAGAGTATAGAAAACTAGCCGCCAATGACCCTGTAGGGTAGAGGCGATTACAAATAAAAAAACAAGTTTTTTATGGATTCTTTTGCAATATGGTTTGTCTGCGTTGAGTTTTTTTTTTCGATTTAAGTAATTATGTATCTATATTCAGTTTCTGTTTTAAGGATTCGGAAAAAATGTAGGTAAAGTAATTCAAATCGTTTTTAAAGGGTCTTCCACTTCATTTTAACTTGCAAGCTCCTTGTCATCCTTTTGTCAAAGTTCAAGATACTGTACTGTGTCTCTTTGAGAAAAACGGTTGATGTGGATATAATGTGGAGGACAGGTGTTTCTTCAAATAGTAAATATTATGTTAAAATTTATCATGTTTTAGTCGAGTTTTCAATAGTTTTAACTAGTCTTGTAATTTATGTGGGTGGTGTGGAGTTAATTAGAAGGCCTGTGTAGAAGGCTTGATGTTTTATGAGAATTATTGTATCGTCAGCTTTAGAAGTTGTCAATATCTCATTGCTAAAGGATGTGTTGTAAGTGTATAACATTTAAAGTAGAGGGGCCAGTATTGAACCTTGGGGAAATCCGTTGAAGAGGAAAGATTGAAGCATAAGATAGTGTTGTTTGATGTTATAGTTTTAAGTTAAAAGAGAAGAACCTAGTGCTATACATTATCAAATGCCTGAGCGATATAAAAAAATACATCAGTTGGATAAAGTTTTCGAAGTTCGATAAAGTCGAATGGAATGTAAGAAAACCGAACTGGTGATTAGGTATAACCTATTGGTCGGTCAGTATGTCAAAAATATGTTTATTAATATTTCAAATATTTGTAAGTTTGAATTTAATTACTTAAAGCTAAAGTATTATGAACAACTGTTTAGATTTTAAAAATGAGAGGATATTTTCCATACAAATGCTAAAAATCGAATCTGAAAATCAGCACAAACTACGAGGATATTTTAATTTCTACACTAATATCTGATTTTATGAAAGTTTGAAGATTTTGTAATCGCTGTTTAAAAATATTTAATTGAAATACCTAGAGATAAAAAAATGGCAATTTTTAGTTTACAATTGTATCAACGATATCAAAGGACAAAAAAAATTGATAACATTTTTATAAACCAGAAAATGTGAAAAACGAGCCGGTTTTTATGTGATTGCAAACTCCTAGATTTAGCGCCTAATCATGTGATAAGTATTCCCATAGCAACCATAGGCATTTTGCAAGAATTATTATTAATCTGGAAAACTGTAAATTTGTATTCTTTAAAACGCAGGGTCCAATACTTCCTTGAGAAGTACACCGCGTCTTGACGATTGTGTCAAAATCGTTAAATTACAATTCATCTCAATACTTTGACTTTGAAACATCCATTTTTTTCAATGACTTTTGTTGATGTTGTTGAAAAAATTAAAGCTTCTAAATCGGGATTTTTCACTATGTATATTATCACTAAGGATGTTCTGGAATTTTGCAACTCTATAGTGTTGCATTGCTAGTAAATAAAGCATTTCTTTCTTTATCTTTCCACTCATACTGTCTTTTTCATTGGTAATTTCAAGCTGTATGAAAAACAAAATTAAATAATTTTCCTTATTATGCGTTAACTTTTATGTCCTGAATTATAATATGGTAGTTTGTAGTGTAAGCCATTTCCTCTGACGATCAGCTGCCAAAAGGAGCATGACGACTGGTATGATTGATGAGGAGACAGATAGATAATACATAAACAGATAAAGATAGATAAAATTGTAGGCGGGGGTGGAGCAGAGGGGTGGGGGTGGGCACTATATAAGGGACCGCCGACGGATCTCGTCCCATTCTGCGCCCGATCGCACTCGAGTAGAGACAGTCAGAACCATAGGCATGTCCCCGATAGCATTCTCTTTAGCGATCATAGTCTGCGTATCAGCAGCCCAGCCTCTCAGGGTATATTTATTATGTATTTGTATTCGCACTATGTATAATGTATAACTTGCTATATGTATCATCTTGAGGTAGGTATGTGTGTTGATATGTAAGCCATTTGCTGAGCACCAAGCTTTATTTTATACCAAATGGGACGATTGTCTCAGAATTCATATTGTCGTTAAAGGAATTCATTGCTTTGAAAAAAAAAATCTTATAAAATCGCAGTATCTCTAAACTGCAGATTATATTCCACTATTGATAGAAATCTCCTTACTGCTTCATAAAAAAATTGTATCATTTTTTGAATAATTTAAGTCGACCTATATATCATAAATTTGACGAACAAAACCCCAATAAAACTTTTATATCCAGATTGTCGGGATTCAATTTTTATCTAATTTACTCATTTACAATAAAGGTGGCTTTTCAACCAATTTCGGGCCATTTTCGCCCGACACAATATTTATATTACACAATATAAAAATTAACAATAAAAATTAAAATACCAAAATTAATTAAAGTACAAAAAGAAATTGTTTAAAATTTGTTGTATTAATACTAGGCGAGTTTTGTATGCATAATATTCAGTTTGAATTCAATTTCTGAAAATATATATTACAAAATATTACGCTAAGAACCTTTTTCCAGATAGGCTTAACAAAAAATTTTTTTTTTTTGTAAGGACTCAGTATGATATCCTTTAATTTAATATTGTTAAATGGTACTATTTAAAATGTAATATTCAGTATAAGTAGCTAGAATCGTTGGATATTAATCAGATATGAAATAATATCGGAATTTCCACAACTTTTTTTATCAGAACGCTGTAAATTATAATAAAAAGTAAAAAAAAAATGAAATATAGAGCTTTTTATATTAATTTACGAAATAAATTAAAAATTAGAGTCCCTTGCCCAATTCCTAGAAAAATTGTATTTTTTTATTAATTCAAGCAGGTCAGAATAATATAAATTTGATGAAGTAACATCCTAATTAAACATTTTTTTGCTAGATTACCGCGATTTGATTTTTAAAAAGTATATATTACAATAAAACCAAGATACGCCTTGAAAAACGCAGTTTTTTTTTTAAATCATCATGGTATAACTTAATTCAAAATAGTTTAATATTACCATTTAAAATACAATATCCAATATAATTCGTTGGGTTTCATGGATATTAATCAAATATGAAATAATTTCAGAATTTATCACAAATTGTATAAACGATAAGTTGTAAAATGTAAGTAAAAAAGAACAAAAAAAAAAATTACCTAAAGCTTTTTACATTCCTTAATGGTGTTCTTACAATCTTGCTATTTGTATGATTTAGGATTTAGGCAATCATTTAAAAATTACAATCAAATATGAATATGAAAATCGAATATGAATTTTTTTAAATTGGCTGTATAAAAATTTCGATAGATAAAAAAATACTTGTTCCATGTCATACCGATACCAAAACTAATTAAAACATTTTTTTAAGAATTTAAAAAATATCAGAAGCAATTTTTGGGAGTTATTATATGTTTTACAGTTCATTCATTACAGGTTCTCAAATGTTTATCTATGTTTAAGAACTTAAATCGTTTCAGATATCTTCCAAACTTTCAAGCATTTTCATAAACTATTTTTTTGTCAACTTTTGACAAATTAACTGTCCTATTTATTTTATTTTTCAAACACGTTTATACGTTTTTTATTCATTGCAACTTTTTTTTATACTTAATGGTTTTATTCTGGAGTCATTTCATTTTTTATTCATTTCATTTTGGAGTCATGCGCTCATCAAATAAGACACAAATATAAGAAATATAATATTACCTTTGATAAGAAAAATATTTAAAGAACCTCACTCCCGTTGGTACCGCAATAGATTCTACTCAAAGTTTTTCCTGAATTTTCAAAGATTTGCTGAGCTTTTTTTTTATAATTATTTTATTATCATCCCTACTTATTCAACGTGAAGCGATAACTCTTTTTGGTGTAAATCAGAGAACTGGTTGGAATTTATCATTTTACAAAAAATCATTATTTTATATAATTTATTTATCGATGAATTTAATAAAATACCCATTGATTTTTTTTTATAAAATAGTTTCGGAATTCTAATAAATAATAATTATAATACATATCAACAATTACAGTATAATTCAGAATACTTTGAAAAAGGACGATTTTCTCTTTATTAAGCTTTATTGTACTATACTTAAATTTATGTTAGTTGAAAAATTTTAATGACCTGAGCGAAACGAGAATTTTAACAAATGTTTGAATATTTCTTTTTTAATTCATGAACGTTTCGGGATTGACTTTCTCATTTCTAAAATCTTCAGAAAAATCAGGCGATTAATTATCCATATGGATAATGATAAATTATTAAAATTACATCATAATTTTATAACTGATAACATATAATTTACAATAAAATTATTTACCTGATATTACTAAATTTATTTAATTGAGTAACATGTACCATATGGGAACAATTAAAAAAAATATGGCTAAATGATTTTTAGGAAGTTTTGAATTGAATTATTGCTTACGATTTTCAATAGGTAAGGTCTGTCTCATGGTTTAGGTATTTCAGACGGTAAATTTAAGTTGAGAAGAAAATTTAAATTAGAATTCTCTGTTTTTATTCAAACAAGAAGGATCATATAGCAATCGTATTAATAATTTATCTATCTATAAATAAAACTGCAGCATATGGAATGGGTGCATAATGTAATAAAGTTTTGTGTCATAAAAGAAAATAATGTATACTTGTTGAAAGCTACAGATTTTTCCAAAAGCACTTAACTTTAAATTGGGTTTGCTCAAAGCATGTGAAATTCGGAGTTATTATTTTCTCTTAAAATTACACGTAAAATTGCCATAAATGTAATAGTATTATACTATCATATTGTTAAAACGTATTATTATTATCACATTTGCCTAAAATTCAGCCATAAAATTGCTTATAAGCTTTTCTATTATATCTTTGAACTTTTCAATTATATTAGACTTATTTTATTTTAGTTTTTTTTTGCGGCTATAAAATAGTTAAAATATAATATTTAGAATTATTATTCGTAGAAATCCAATCGCTCATAAAATAAATACTATGCATTCAGATTTTGTTTTGGCAACACGTAAATTTTTTTTTTTAAAAAAGGGTACGGGAATTTACTTTTTACTACTTATTTTATTGAATATGAGTCGCTATTGAATTCAAGACGGACTTTTGTGTAGTAAGGAATTTAGATAAATCAAACAATAAAGAAACGTTTGAATTAGCTCCATTAAGTCATATTAAGAAACTCCAATAATATGTTGGTTGTTTAAAACCAAATTTTTATAAATTAGGAATAATGAAATAAATTAAAAAAGTAATTTAAAATTTTAATGAAAACCGTCTAACTATTATTACACTTTATTGTTTAGTGTGTTTTTTCCCCTATATATTTAAATACGTAATAGTATTTGAATAAGGCCAATTGATTTTTAAAAATATATATTTGCAGTAAATTGGTTTTTATACGACAATTTAAGTCACATAAATAAGTAATAACTCACTTGATTTAAATATTAAAAAACTCACTAATTTAAAGGGAAAAGAGTATTTTTTTAACGGTTTTCATAATGCTTTTGTAAAAGTTTATCCGTAAAATTGTGAAATTGCGTTTTATCAGTTAGTGTTTTCAGATGATTAAAAAAAATATAATTATAAAACGATAACAATTTCGAAGAAAAATCAATTATTATAATATAACTGTTTTTTAATTTGTAGCCGCTTACAAGAAATTGATAAATTTTATCTCATACGAACTATCAAAGATGAGAAGATTGAAATTAAATATGATGATGTATATTTATTTATGATATACGGTATACCAGAAAACCTATCATTACTTATTTAAATAATAATTTCATAATTTTTATTTTAAAAACCTAAACTAAACACATATCGGAATGATAAACTTTGATAACGTATGAAATGCCTGTATCAATTCTTATAATTCTTATGGTGATAAGAATTTCAGGTTTTTAGAACAATAAAAAACATGTCTGATTTAATTCTAGAGCCAATAAATGGTTTGAAAATTTTTTATTAATGTTTTTCTTAAATTTATTATAGTTCATTTGGTTCTAATTTAAATCTTAGATGGATTAATAATAATGTTAAATATTGTTGAATATTTATTTTTACAAACTACAGATACAATAAATTAACTATATTAAATGCTGCTTTAATCTGAAACCAACAAGATTAGTTTTGATTATAATATCAGTATAAATTACATCATTATGAACTACTAACTTAAAAATATATTTAATTAATTTTCACTCATCAATTTAAAATGAACATAAATTTATAATTTTTTTTTTATTTGCTCCTATTCTATTACATATCCATATCCTCTCAACCTTTTAGGAAAATAATCCAGAAATGGACATCCTCCATCTAACCACAATGTAGGCAAGGGGTGAAAGATGATGTACATTTTCCGTTTAAGTAAGTTATATTTCAACTGTTGCTGTCGTATGAGCTCTCGGGTTTCCTAAAATAATGGGAGCTTTTACCAAAAACATTATCAGATTAGATTTATATCACATCTATTCACAAGTCTGCACAATCTAGTTTTCTTAGTGTGGTGGTGATTTGAATAAATAATTATAAATAAATATAATAAATTCATAGTATACAGCAGGGTTTGAAATCGATAGTTAATTTTTTCCACAAAATTATTTAATAATTATTACATTTTATTTTTAATTTAAAAATCAAGACTGATTTATAAAAAAAGTAAATCGATCTTTGATGTTTATAGATTTGATTAAAAATAATGATCACTCAGTGAGTGATACGGTTTTTCATAAATAATAATGATTAAAAAAAATTTAGATGAGAAAATAAAAATCACCTTTTGCACACGAATTAAATTAAATATCAATATGTATGTATACATTATGCACACTTTTGTTAATATTATATTTTTGAAATCGCCTCAATTGGGCGCGTGGTATCCGCACTAC